TGGTTCCTTATGGTTAAGGGTATGGTTAGGGGTGGATAGGGGTTAAGGTTGTCATAGTTAGAATTAGAGTTATGTCCATAGAAATTAATGGAGAGTCCCCACAATGATAAGAATCTCTGAACCGTGTGTGTGTGTGTGTGTGTGTGTGAGAGAGAGAGTGACATCTCCTTCGCTCTTCTGCTTCAGGGGGGCAGCCAGCCCAGGAGCAAACCATCAGGAGGACTGGAAGCAGCCTTGAGAATGGGGTACGTACCAACACCGGTCTGGGCCACAGGGGGCGCTGCAGCATCGGGTTAATAAACCCCAGAAGTGGAGATGCTTGGCTCTTCTTTTTGAGGGCTACAGTGCACGTTTGGCCTGCTTCTACAAGATGGTGGGTGCTGCCCCCTTCCCCCAGAGCCTCACCCCCCCCACGGCGGAAGCAGCGTGCTGATGTCACCCACACGTCCCATGCGGCATCCAAGCACGCCCACCCACTTTGCTGTTAGCAGTCCCAGCGTGTGACGGAACTGACCTCTGGGACTGGTGCAGTCTGTCGGGGGGGTGTGGAAGCAGACGTGGGAGTGTGGGATGTGTGATGTTTGCAGTCTGTGCGTGCGTGCGTGCGTGTGCGCGCCCGGTTGGGCCTGATGTGTCACTCGCAGGCCTGCAGAGCCGTGTCAGGACCAGCAGGGCGTGTGGCTGTAGCATGTAGGTAGGCCTGCGAGACACACCAGCCCCTCAGAAGGTCCGATTCTGTTTAGGGGACCTCCATTCGACCCCTGTGCCCCCTGATCTGACGGTGCAGTCCTAGTGCTTGTGATTAGTGACATCAGCATGTCCCAACGTGACCCTGGGATGAGGTCAGTGTGGCTCACTGCGAGGTGTTTGTTTTGAGATAAGCCCCCCCGGCCGGTGGCGGTTTGGGCACCCTGGTCACATGACACCGTGTTGCTGTGACGCCTCCCCCGGGCGAGGGCTACTGCGGCCAGAATAATTCTGAGGATTACACTGGTGTCATGACATAACCAGTTAAGAGTATCACTCCTGTTGTCCATTACTCCTGTCGCCTGACTGCTGCTTCCTCCTTGTCTGCGCGACCATCTCTCAGAAGCTGCAGCAGCTTGCGGCTCTGGGTTCGAGCCGTACGGGTCCAGGTAAGGCAGCCCTATGTTCCTGGTGCCTCCAGACGAAGTTGCTTTAGGGCCACAGGGTTGAATGCACTCGGACTAGTTCTGTGCTAGTGCTTGTAAACCTCAGTAAAAGTTTTTAAGTGTGATTTCTGTACTGGAACAAACTAAATCTCTTCTTTTATTATTTTTTTTACAGTTTTTGATTAGATGTTGGGGTAAAAGTGATAATTCACAGGTTAAACCATGGAGGCAGTCTGTCTGCGTTTCTGTCTGCGTTTCTGTCTGCGTTTCTGTCTGCGTTTCTGTCTGCGTTTCTGTCTCAGTCTAATCTGCAGTCACAGTCAGGGCACTGAGCCCAGGCTTCACTATGTCTCTGATGGGACGTTTCCTCTGTTCACCTTCTCATCCTGATTCTCTAAATCTTTCCTCTCTTTGCCTCTCTCCATCCTTCCCTCGCTCTCTCTCTCTCCCCTCCCAGCCCTCCACCCTGCATTGCTCCTCCTTTCCATCTGGAGGAGACGGACAGATTAACACGATTCCTTGGCCCAGAGTGTCCTGCGAGGTAGTGTGGGTGCAGAGCTCGAGTGAGACGTTCTGCTAAACACCACCCCCCCCCAAGAGTCTGAGTCCCCTAACTGCTGTGGCCCACATCAGCAGAGCTGGACTGCACTGTCTGTCCCCCAGGGCTCTGTTACAGAGCTGCTGTCAGGGGAGTATGGAGGGGGGGGCTACTGCGTGTGTGTGTGTGTGTGTGTGTGTGTGTGTGTGTGTGTGTGTGTGTGTGTGTGTGAGAGAGAGAGAGAGAGTGAGTGCGTGTGTGTGTGCGCGAGTGCGCACGCACCCCTTTCCTTGTTTTTCATGGCCAGTGGGCTGCTGGTCCTCCTGCCCCCACCCTGTGGTCTGGGGGGGGGGGGGGAGGATTAGACCTGTGTCAGCAGCTGCAGGTATGAGCTCTGGCTCGTCTCCGGGGTGAGGGCTGCTGTTTGTACATCTGTGTCTGCTTAACGAACAAGCTGATGGGGAGGGCTCCGCATGCTGTGTGACTAACCCCCACCCCCCTCCCCAGAATCCTGGGTGGGGTTCTGACAGAAAGGAGAGAATTACCCTTCAGGGGGAGTCTGCATATTTTGTGTGAGTTGCCTAAGGAACATTCATTGAGTTGTGTTACATAAAGCTGATTGATTGGGGTGGGGGTTGTTATTAATTTTTTTGTGAAAAGTTCAGTGTCATTCCTGACTATTTTCTCGCTCTGATGAACCTGCAATCGGAGTACTTTGGGATCGCCTGTTGATAGTTTTTGTCGGAGTACGGGGCGGGGGACGCATGGTAATATTACCGCGTTTGATACGGAGTTCTCCATCAATATTTATCTTGTATTTTAAAGAGAGCGCGAAGAATCAGCATAGTAAATAATTCCAGGGGCGGATGATGTTTCCTCAGGTGCTGAGACACGCTTAGCCAGCCCCCCCCCCCGGTGATCCGGGTTTTTAAAAGACGAACGAAAAGTGGAATTTTAAAACAAAATAAGATTGACGGATGCCTGTCAAGTAGTCGAGTAAGTTTAATAAATTAAGTCTGTCTAAACTGAGGGTGGACCTTCGTCTCCCCAAAGTGCCCGAGCCGGACCGGGCAGAGCCGAAGCGGCTGGCTAGCGGGGGGGGGGGGAATCGGGGGGCGTGCCGCAACCGCGTATGGAGCCGGACCGACCCAGAAGTGCTTGCGCTACAAATTTTACACAAAACGCCGCTGGAGGAAAAAAGAAATCCCGAGGAGCCGTCGGAGCTGCAGCCCGTTTTTGCGCCACGGAGACGCTACACTTTTAAACGGGAAGATCGAGCTGAACCGGTTCCGTGTTAAATAAAGCCGCGTATAGGACCGAGCTCGCCGGGATCAGAGCCCAGCTCTGGTATTTCGGGACGAGGCGGACGGCAGCATGGAGTGGCGTCGCACGGAGGCGGTGAGGGAGCTGACGGCGGAGGGCCAGTGCGGGACAGTTCGACTGCGATCCTGCACCATCACTTGGGAGCCTCGTCTGGTAAATGATCAATTTTTAGCGAGATAATATCCGCCCAGATCAGCGCTTAGCGTCCAGCTAAGTTTTAAAGACCCATGTTTCACTTTGCGATAGTTTCATAATAAACTGGCGTCTCCGAGTTTTAATGAAACGTTTTGCGGTAACTGGGCTGTTTCTGCTGAGTGAAGTTGCACCACTGTGGAGGTGCTGTTGTGATGGTTGCACCCAGCTGGTTACGTCTGTGTTCGGAGGTCTCATATTGCCTGATAGTGTTGGGGAGCTTCGTCTGTGGAATTAGGATGCTTAGTCTTTTAACTTTTTAAGGCTGTCCTGTCCTGCTGAGCAGATGGGAGCAGGGATGTCGGAAGGGCATGGATACCCTGGCAGATTCAAGGGGCCAAGCACTTCACAGGGGGCCTTGAATATGTAAAATTTGGGTGGAGGGGGGTATATTGTCAGGGTGCCAAGAATACCTGGATGGGAGTCATGGACCCTGTTGCAGGTGGGCTTCACAAGTTGTGGAAGTGGAGCTGGTCATTTGAGAACTCCCCTCCCCCTCTTGGTGGTTATCAAGGGGAGGGGGTCTTTGCCCTCATGCTCCTAAAGGCTTTGAGCTTCAGGAACAAACTTCTGTTTGTCATAGCAGTGTTCAGACTCCCCCCACCCTGCTGCAGAGGCATGGATGGGCTGGACATCCCAAAAATGCTCTCGCTTTGGGGTCTGGGATAAGCTTTCATTTGCTGGTGAAGTGAAAGTGTTTGCAGACCCTCAGAACCCAGTTATCCAGGCTGGGGGCTTAGAACTGGGTTTTATTTCACAGGGACCCAGTGTATGTGAGATGTAAAGGGGACGGATTTACACATAGTGCTGAAGGAGGGTTGCTGATATGCAGTGTTACTGTAAGTAATGCCAAAGTGCGGTCACCATGGCGATTTCGAATTATGTGAAGTGACGGGATTTCATGTCGGTTGATTAACTCCTGCTGGTGCTGCTGGAGAAGGCTTTTGTTCCAGTTAGTAATGGGACATTGTTCTCCTCGCTCACTAACCCACATGGTGGGTTTGGGAAAATAGCGACATGGACATTAAAGCGAGTAACGAACGGTGCAGCCAGACGGCGGTGGGGTTAACGAGGGTAACTGTGAATACATGCATCCCCGGGCGGTGGGTGGCTGGCGCGCGGCGCTCGACGTGACCCAGGCCCGCGTGTGTGGGCAGCGCATGGATGGGTGCACCGACGCATCTGTGCTGGAAATGCCCTCCGCTGCTGCAGGGGGCTGCTTTGGGTATTTTGAGAAGCGGCAAGTTGCATAACCGTTCTTCCAGGGGGAGAGATGGGAGGGATCGATTTTTTTTTTTTTAGTAACCCCTTCATCACCGGCTGTGTTCGGTCCCCGTTTGTGTATGACTGTCGGCTGACAGGTGATGATGATGATGATGATGGTCTGAGCCCGGTCCTGGTCACGCACGGGTACCAGGCAGATGCATGCCCACTTGCCTAACCTCTGACCTACTGGGGCATGGCTAGCCGTCCCATTTTCGCAGTACCAGACAAACGGTCTGGGTCCAGTGCCAGCGGTCAGGGCCCGTCTCCTTTCTGATTGGAATGGACCAAGCAGAACGTGCTTCAGCCAGGTGTCCGAGGTGTTGGCATTTGGAGGGGCTGGCATGTCCTGCCCTCTGCACTGGAGGTGTCTCAGTCCAGTGCCAGCTCTTAACTGCAGGGGAGGGACAGGGACAGTTCTTGTACAATGGAAGGATGCAGTGAATGCATCAGCTTCCCGTTCATCCTTTCAAGGGACTTCCTGTAATATGGTGACTTTGCTGTGTCACGCCATGCTGGAGTCTCTCTCCTCTGCTTTCCCTTCATCCCTCCTCCTCCATCTCTCCTTTTATCTCCGTTGCTGCCCTCTCCCTTAATCCAGCGGATCATTATTCTTCACCCTGTCTCTGTAACAGAAGTGAGTCACCCCTGTTTCCTTGTTGCTCTCTTTTATTCGCCCGCATTCCCGGTAATGTTTTCGTTATTTGTTTCCGAGGCTCCCTGTACGGCCCGCCGCCATCATCTGTTTTGTGAGCACCCCGCTGATGAGAGCCCCGCCCACACGTGTTGAGATGTCTGCGGAGAGACAGGACTGACGGTTTCGGGTGTGTGTCTCCACCCATAGGTGGGGAACCCCCGTGTGGAGCTCACCCTGTCTGAGCTGCAGGAGATGGCCAGCCGTCAGCAGCAGCAAATCGAGGCCCAGCAGCAGATGCTGGTCGCTAAGGTAGGCCTGATGTCCCTGGGGCTGTGCCAACTCGTCCTGCTTTGGGGGGGTCCCGTCCCATCCCGTTCCAAATAAAATCCAAGTTTCATGTTTCAGGTGTGGTTCCACTTTTGTGGAGTGGAGCAGCTGGTTGTGTTGAGGGTGTGCTGTGGTCCAGAAACCAGAGGCGCCTCGTTTAGGGGTATATTTCAGTGCCAGATGGGGAAGGGCAGATGAACCTCTGACACACTCACTGGTGGTCAGTGCTGAACACACCCCTCATCTGTGCGAGATGATGCCCAAGAAGGAGATTGTGATAAATTAACTAGGCATGAAACTCTACACCAGCGGCTTGTTCCATTAGGGACCTTTCAACCAGACACACGACGTGGACTGTACTATTGTCTTTAGGAGTGGGGGGGCAACCATGTGCTTCCTGGTGCCTTTTAATGGATGGTGCTCTGTTCCAGTTGTTGATCTCTTTCATTGTTACTATGGATATGATCCATGGTGATGGGGGGGGGTAGTTTTGCACACAACAGCAGGAAGGGATAGTGGGAAACTGCAGCTGGACAGGAAGTGGGACGGGAGTTGGGGGCGGGACATTGGCAGCTATTTCCTGGATAGGAGTGCTTTGTTTTCCAGTGAGCCGGGTCTTTGGCCACAGAACACCTAAGGACCCCGGCCTGGAAAACCCGCAGACGCTGCTCCTGGCACAGTTTGATTTCTCTAGTGTCCATTTTAATCCCGCCGCAACCTTGTGGTCACTCCTGGCTCGACGTTCATTGGCCTGATGGCCTTTCTGTGGATATAATCACCCAAACTGTCCAGACAGGCTGCAGGTAAATACTATTTTCCACCGTTCAGACGGTGACCGCTTGTTTTTTTGCGTTCCCGTTCTCAATCCGAAAGAGCGGTTAGCCTCACTGCGGTGAGGGTGATGATACGCTGATGTTAACCATACTGATTAGGCCAGAAAACAAAATTGCTGGGTAGCCCAGTCACTGAGATGCCATTGTTACTGCTGCTATTTATAGAACTTGTAGGGGTCATCCCTGGGGGGGGGGGGCTTCTCTGCATGCTGAAGGCGGCTCTGGATCTCTGCGGCTGTATGACTGCATGGATCACAGCCCCTAACCCTTGACACGATCGTGGACGCAGCCCGATTCTGAGGCCCTCTCCAGGCATCATGCTCGGTTCGGTCCCATCGGATCAGAGCCTCGGCGTCGCTGTTTGGGTGGTTCCCTGACACGCCTTGTTTCTGAAAGTAGGTGTGAAAGCGCGGGATCAGGTGACAGCCGTAAGCGCCGGGAGGATCCTGGGTTCAGGGTCAAAGGCATGTCTTTGGAATGTGGGCTGGGCTTTGTGTGGATGGGCTGTTGGGACACCCTGGCCAGCAGTGCCGTCCGCGAAAGTGCCATGAGCTGTGTGACACGGGGGGGCGGGGGGGTATGCTAGCGGGGAGTGTTTTCGTTGCATCAGCGCTTTCTGGTTCGAGTGCCTTAGCACCAAGTCGTGAGCCTCTACCTCCCGAAGGCGTCCCGGGTCCCTGTTTCCTGACTCTCACTGCAGTCTCTCTTCGCCCCCCCCCCCCACCCTGCCCCCAGGAACAGCGGCTGCGTTACCTAAAGCAGCAGGAACGCCGGCAGCAGCAGGCCCAGGCAGAGAGCGAGAAGCTGCAGCGACTGAAGGATAGAGTGGACAACCAGGAGGCCAAGCTGAGGAAGATCCGCGCCATGAGGGGACAGGTGGACTACAGCAAGGCCGTCAACGGCACCCTGTGTACGTGCGGCCCCCGCGTGTGTGTGTGTGTGTGTGTGTGTGTGTGTGTGTGTGTGAGAGCCCCCCGTCACTGAGGTCTAATCCCAACGCCCCCCCGCTGCGCGCACAGCGGCGGAGATCGATCACATCAATGGTGTCTTCGCGGAGAAGCAGCAGCAGCTGAGGGCGGCCATGCTGAAGGTGGAGCAGCTGACGCAGCAGCTGGAGGAGCTCCGTCAGGGCAAGCTGGGTGGCATGCAGACGCCTGGCACGGCGGCGCTGGAGCTGCGACGCCTCTACCAGGAGCTGCAGGTGCATGGGCATGTCCTGGGAGGGGGGCCCTGGGTGGTTGTGCCCGACAGCGTGGGGCGTGGCCATGACACCGAGCCGCTGTGCTCCCGCTCAGATCCGAAACAAGCTGAACCAGGACCAGAACAGCAAGCTGCAGCAGCACAAGGAGCTGCTGAACAAGCGCAACCTGGAGGTGTCGCTGATGGACCGGCGCGTCAGCGAGCTGCGCGAGCGGCTCTACCGGAAAAAAGCTGAGGCACGTCAGAAAGAGAACATCCCTGTAAGGCTGGGCCGCGGCCCGGGAAGCCAGCACATGCACACGCACACGCACACACACACACGCACGCACAGCTCGCCGCGACGCCACACAGTCCCTCTCACACCCACCCCTCCCCCAAACAGCTGAACAGAGCCAACGGTCCCCCCTCCCCCCAGCTGGCCCCGGGGACCATGGGCCGCGTGGCTGCCGTGGGGCCCTACATCCAGGTGCCGGTGCCGGGCCGGCAAGACGGGGGCTACGTGGTGCCACCCGAACCGCTGAAGCCGCAGTCGCTGGGGGTGACGTCCGCCATCAGCCACGCCCGCTCTAAGTCAGGTGAGCACCCCCCACCAGTGTGTAAGTCACAGCAAGGTTTCAGTGGACTTCTGTACCACTATCAGACAGATAATTCCCGTGTTTGCCCTTCCACTAGAGGGAGCCAGTGTACTTGCCCTATCTGGCTCCCTATTCCGATTTTTAAATTTTTTCCTTTATTTCTTTACTTTCCCCATAATCTCTTATGATATCTGTTCTTCTCTTCCCCCCCTTTTTCCATCATCTGTCCCTTCCCCGGTGGTTGTCTGTAATGCTCGTTTGTCATTGTTGTATTCCTCTGGGGGGGGCGTTGTGGGGCAGAGACGGAGGGCCGCTCTGGGAGAAAGCCATGGAAGGTCTCTGATTTAGACACCATGGTGGACCCTCTGTCGGTGGCGTCGGCCGGCAACGTGTCCCGTGAGTCCGCAAGCGTTGCAGGAGAACACCCGGCCTTAAACAGTGTGGGCGAGGACCCCCCCCCGCTCCCCCATCAGCCATCAGCACAACGATATGCCAGCGTGTGGGGGCACACGCTGCTGCTGTTGCAACACAAACTTCACTTAAGGGGTGACGGTTGTGTAATGAAACGGGTTTAGACATCTGCTGTGTGCCTGGGGGGAGGCGGGGTCTATCTGTTTGGACCTGGCCGCACAAACCCACAGACGCTGCAATTAAAGACGTGTAGTGTTGACATGGCTGGCAGCAGTGGGGATGTTGCTGGCGGAGCGTGGGGGGGGGGCATTCTGATCTGTGTGTGTGCGCCAGAGCCCCTGTAAGGTTCGCTGTTCTCTCGTGTGTGTCACCCTCACCTCGATGAAGTCTGGCTTCATCTGCTGTCCTCCTACATCCCAGCTCGTTAGCGTAGAGCGGCTCGTTTGGTCCATTTCGTCTGTAGACTTAGTGGGACTAACAACAGCTTCATCTGTCCCCGGAGGTCATCACTAACGTTTGCCGATTCATTATAATTAGCAACAGGGATATTTTTAGTTGCACAACTTAAAATCCATGAGATGTTCTGCTATGGGGGGGGTGATTGATTTAAAGGTCTGTGAGTTGTATGTCCCTAATGAGTGGGTGGTTGGTCGAGGCGGAATATCCCACTGCGTGTCTCCCTCCCTTGCCAACAAGGGCTCCTTCTGCAGAGGTTTCCAGAACAAACGTTCTGGTCAAGCGGAATGGGATGTACAGAGGGGCGACTGCAGAAAGTGCGGAGGGGGGGCGAGGGATGTACACAGACACACGCACAGACTCCAGTGATGGGGGCCAGAAGTCCGCAGGGCAGGAAATCGCAGAGTTGTGCCAGGGCAACGGGAAGAATGTTGCCATAGCAACAGAGGGACCGCAGCCATTTGGTTCTGGCCCGCTGCACTAGTTAATGGGTCATATGACAGGCGGCCCCCCTCCTGCCGTGTTAAATGGCATTTGGGGCCCTGTGGCGGCGGGAACACGCTCTGTTAGGCTTGGGGCTGCTAAGGCCACAGTCCAGTGCAAATGCAGGGGCTGTCGGTCACCTAAACCACACGCTCTCCTCCCCCAGCTAACGATGCCAACTGGCCCACACTCAGCAAAGGCACCTGGAAGGAGTCCAGCCTGGAGGCAGGGGTGAAGGCTGGCAGCCCTGTGCCCGTGGGCACCCCCACCATGGCTATGCCTACTGACAAGGTATGGACTCTGAAAGCTGGTACTGCCCATAAACACCCTGTCTCATAATAATGGTTAAATATGGCTACCTTTATGGTTATAGACCTATTAGAAGTCTGTCATGTCACCACTGCGCCCCCTTATGGTCACATGGTGAATGCATGTTCCCCTACAGGGTGTAGATTCAAGTAAGCTGTCCAAGTCACTGCCCCCCAGCTACGGTACCTACCCCAGTGCCGGGCTCATGTCGTCAGCGAATTCCACCAGCTCTCTGGAACGCCGCAAGGACCCGCCCCCACGACCTCTAGGTGCCAATCAGACGTGGCAGAGATCGACGACCTCAGCCCCCGGGTCCTCTTCCCAACAGATCCAGCAACGCATCTCTGTGCCCCCGAGCCCCACCCTCCAGCCCAGCTCGCCGCTGTTCCCCCCGGCGGAGCGGCCCGATGCCCCGTTAGCGGCGGCCGTGCGCCCATTCGTGCCTGACAAGGGTTCACGCCCCCAGTCCCCTCGAAAGGGCCCCCCCACCATGAACTCCAGCTCCATTTACCACATGTATCTACAGCCGGGGGCAGCCAAGAGCCACAGTCTGGGCGGCAAGCCGGCTGTCAAGGCGGGTACGGGACTTTCATTTCAGTATCTGCACTGGTAGACCGTATAATGCCGCCTTTTACTTGCTTAACTGTTAATAATTGCCTGTTTAAATACTGCCGCATGATGCTGGATATTTTTGTTAGCTTGATCTTGGCAAAGGAGGCCTTCGGCCATAGGTCAATATCACCCGCAATTCGCCAGTCATTTACGATTCTTTGCAAGTTCCAGACTACACCAGTCCTCAGGTTTCAGAATGACTGATTGCTTCTCCCCCCTACCCCCTAACCCCATCCCCCATCCTCCATCATGCAGTATACGGGAAACCAGTCCTGCCGCCCAGCTCCACGTCTCCCTCTCCGCTGCCCTTCCTGCAGGATGCAGCAGAACGTGAGGATGAGCCTGACAATGCCTCTGGCGAGGCCTTGCCCCCAGACTCAGCCCCCCCGCCGGGCTCGGCTCCGCCAAGTGTGGACACCTTGCCGCGGCCGCTGAGCCCCACCAAGCTGACACCGGTCGCACATTCGCCGTTGCGTTACCAGAATGATGAGCTGGAGGCCCTGCGACGCCGCCTGGCCAACGCCCCCCGCCCACTGAAGAAGCGCAGCTCCATCACAGAACCAGAGGGCCCCGGAGGGCCCAATATCCAGAAGCTGCTGTATCAGCGCTTCAACACACTGGCGGGAGGCATGGATGGCGGAGGTGGCATGCCCTTCTACCAGCCCGGCCTGCCCGACTATGTGGGCGGAGCTATCGGCGATGTGGACAACAGCAACACGGCTAACGCCAACGTGCCGGAGGCCCCTTCGGCGTCTGCCGCGGCCCTTCCAGAGCCTCCCTGTCCCGTGCCGGACGCCAACGACAACCAGCCACCCCCTCCACCCATCGGGGAGCCGCCGGCCTCGCCACCCCCTCAGGCTTCAGACACCTCCCAGGATGAGAGCAACAATAACCCCCCTGGGCCCTCAGACTCGGCCCCCAGCCCCATCCTGGAGGCCCCATCCCCCGAGGAGGCCGGGACCCCGCCTCGGGCGGCCACGCCCCCCTCGCAGCCGGCGGTGAGTATGCACCACTCTGGTGTCCATGGTGACCGTCTGTATGAGTGTGTCCCACGCCTGACCGCGCCATTCCCCCCCCCAGGTGAAGCGCACCAACCTGAAGAAGGCCGACTCGGAGCGTACAGGTCACGGCCTGCGGGTTAAGTTCCACCCACTGGCCCTGCTGCTGGACGCCTCGCTGGAGGGCGAGTTCGACCTGGTGCAGAGGATCATCTATGAGGTTGCCTGCCCCACCTTGGCTGCCCTGTCTTTTTTTCCTCCCCGTCTTTTGCTCCTCCTTCTTTTAACTCTCATTAATATGACCCCCCACGCCCCCACCAGGTTGAGGACCCCAGCAAGCCCAATGATGAGGGCATCACGCCCCTGCACAACGCCGTGTGCGCCGGCCACCACCACATTGTCAAGTTCCTGCTGGACTTCGGCGTCAACGTCAACGCTGCCGACAGCGACGGCTGGTGAGGTTACGACCAGCGCTTCGTTCGCCGGTCGCGCGGCCTCGCCCCCTTCGCTGACTCTGTCCTTGCATGTCACATGACCAGGGCTCCGCTGCACTGCGCCGCGTCCTGCAACAGCGTACACCTGTGCAAGCTGCTGGTGGAATCGGGGGCCGCTCTCTTCTCCACCACCATCAGTGACGTGGAGACGGCGGCCGACAAGTGCGAGGAGATGGAGGAGGGCTACCTCCAGTGCTCCCAGTTCCTCTACGGTGAGTGCTGCTGGGAGAACTGGTGGAGGCGCAGTGCGGGTGGCCTTAATGGGGCCATCCCCATGTAAATCCCTGGCTTCTCTACCGCAGGTGTGCAGGAGAAGCTCGGCATCATGAATAAGGGGGTGGTGTATGCGCTGTGGGACTATGAGGCCCAGAACGACGATGAGCTCTCTTTCCGTGAGGGCGATGCCATCACCATCCTCCGAAGGCAGGACGACACAGAGACCGAGTGGTGGTGGGCCCGGCTCAATGACCAGGAGGGATATGTGCCCCGAAACCTGCTGGGGGTACGGATGGGGATTTGTGGCCATGTTGTTGCTTGGTTTTGTGGGTGTGGCTTATCATTTTGGGGTGTGGCTTGGTGTTTGTGGGTGTGGATTATGGTTTGGGGGTGTGTGAATCAGCTGAATGTGTACATGTCCCTGCAGTTGTATCCTAGAATCAAGCCCCGGCAGCGTTCCCTGGCTTGACTCCTCCCCCTCCCCGTCGAGTGGGCGGCGCCGATGCACACACGGACCTGAGGGAGGAACTGGGTTCCACTGCTGCCCTCTCTGCGTCGGTGTCACCTCCCTGCAGGATGGAGTGGGGAGAGAGTGAGGAGCACGTGTACCCTCTGAGGACCCTGGACCATGAACTGGATTTTACTTGCACGTGGGACTGATAGGGGTGGGGGGTGTCGTGTACCTGGCTGATCTCCTCTGGGCTGAACCAATGGTCCTTCTTCCTCCTCCTCTGAGTCACAGTGGGGCATGGATGTGGTTTGTGTGTCAGTGAAGGTTTCCTTTCCCCAAACAGTAGAAGGGGGGGGGGGCAGAGAGTGGGTCTGAGCCGGAATGTTGCTATTTGTGTGGTAGTGTAGTGCAGAGCAGAGTGGGATGGGCAGGCAGGCAGAAATGTATTTGCAGAGAGAAGGACCTTGGGGCTGGTGTAGCCATGCAGGGACACTAGGATGTGCAGTAGTGTTAGCATCAAGGGCAGGCAGAGTAAGGGCTGTGTGCTACTGTTAGCATGGAGAAGTGGCCCAGTGCAGACAACTTGCGTTAGCACAGAGGACAAGCACAGTACAGCCTGGGCACTAACATTAGCGTGGAGCATAGGAACAGTGTACACAGTTAGCATTAGCATTGAGGACAAGCACAGTACAACCTGTGCGCTAGCATTAGCATGGAGGATGTGCAGTGTAGGTTGTTAGTGTGTGTGTGCTGGTTGGTGTGCTGTGGAGGAGGGAGGGGGAGGGACAATGGGTGGTTCTACCAGAGAGCAGCCTGGATTCCCCTGTCAGGCCCAAGTCTAGGGAGGGATGCAGTAACTGTTTAAGCTACAGCTTTGTGCGTGAGAACGGAAGCACTTCAGCAGACAGCTAAACGTAACGCTTTGGCGCTAACAGAGCAGCTTGGGGAGCGTCCCCCACAGCCTCGCACCCGGGCCCCTACACCCTTTGTTTTCTGTGCTGTGTAAGATGATCTCACTCTTTCTGTAAATACTGCAGAGGTCCGGTGTCTGCCACGGGCCAGCGCAATGCTTATGCAACACAGTATGTACATGAGCGCAATAAAAGCTGTTCCCTGGCACGAGCTGGAGTGGACTCTGTGTTCGTCCCTGTTGGGGGGAGGTGGGTGGGCGTGGTTTAACCTATGTAGAGACTGTTTGATGGGGGTGGGGCTGAAAGATAACTAATGTGGATGAGGTAATTGTTCGCCACCATTCAGGTAGGTAAAAATTTATGGAACCCTTATATTACTCTGCTCCACACCAGGGCTGGAATTCAAAGACGGTGAGTTCTGGGACAGGGGTGGTGGAGGAGTTAAATACAAATTACCAAGAACCAAGTAGGAAATTGACTTAAAATGTAAAAAACCGGTATGTTAGGTGCTTGTCCTTATGTTTACTTCCTGCACATGCTCAGGAGCATAGGAAGGGGACGGGGGACTGGGACGTGTACCCCCCAATATTTAATTTGGCTTCAATTGCCCCCCCCCCCCTTATAAACAGACCCTTGCATCTAAATTTTGCCCCCCGGTCCCCAAAATCAAACACTAGTGTATGTGCTAAGTGCTAACCCGTCACCTGCACGCGCAGCTCTAGCTGTTTGAAGGTGCGAAGGTCGTGGCCTCTGCCCGGTAATCTGTCCATTGGCTCCTTTTTAAACTGACTAAGTGGGCGGTGCTTATTAGTCCCAAATAAAGTACGATGTTTAGTTCTTAAGATGAATCCGCTTTTTCATCTCCTACTTAATAATGAGACTTTGAACCGGAGAGTTTATAACTGGCCAGACATCTGGCACCGCTCATTAATCCGGAGACGACAAAGACGCGTTGCGTGCTCTGCTTTTGCAAGTGGGTGGACGGGTAACTGAACTGCCATTTAGCAATCTGCAGTTCTATGCATTATTGATTTTTGACCCAAATACAATAAGAATCTCTGACGCATGTGTCTAATTAATGCTTAACCGAAACGCTGAAACTGAAAATATAAAGCGTTTGTACGTGTGACAGAGAGTCGCTGAGAAATGTCGCACCTTACAAGCTTCCATGTAAACACTCCTCTGCTGGAAAGCCTGGACCTCTCAAAGAGAGCTGGAACCCGAGTGTACATGAAGATGGAGAACGCCCAGCCATCCGGCTCTTACAAAATCCGGGGGATCGGACATCTCTGTCAGAAGGTGAGTTTGATCCAGCTCCAGCTTTATGATTAAAAACTTGCTGTGGCGCTATTATTTTTATTATGATACACTAATTTTTGCATTAATAAACGACGTGATTCACAAGTGCTATACAAATTACAATAGTCTCTTTCGATCAATAAATAAAACGGTTCTACTTCCGTTTTTATGTTCTATTATGTTCCCTGACCAGGCGAACAGCGCCACCTGGTGCTCAGCTCTGATAATTACACTTTTAAGTAACCGTGTAATATAACTGCAATACCGCCATCTTGTGGGAGAAAAATATATCTGCCTGAACCTGGATTTTTATTTACTGCAGATATACTGATACACACAAGATTTTGCGGTCAGATGCGTGACACGTGCCGTTCTCTCTTCTGTAGATGGCAGGCCCTGGTTCCAGGGGTGTAGTCTGCGCCTCAGGTTTGTATTTTACTTTTATACGCGCACACACACACACATACAGTACCCAAGTCCAATACAACACAGAATCGCATTTGTATTTGCGCGATTTTCAGTAAGAGAGAAAAGCACTACGCGAACTACAGCGCCATGTGGCCTTAGCGAGAAACCAGCTAACAGGTATCCAAGTGAACGACAGTGCTGTCCAATCGGTGAACGATTCCTTCTTTTGAACCTGTTTTCAGAGAATTGGTCAGATCGGTTTTCAGGTTGAAAAGAACTGAAATGCTTGTACATCCATGCACTGCACAGGTCAAAGTCTTAAATTCTAAAAATTCAAAATTTTATCTGAAATGCAAATAATTACACTATTGGCCACTGATATTACTGTTTAATTAATTTAGTTTGGTGTAAGTTACTAAGTTTTGGATGTGCCTTCAAAACTATCCATTGTGTGTTTTAGTACACTATTTTAGTGAAAGCAGGGTTTTTCAGGAATGCATTAGTCGTGCTGTAGCAGAACTATGTGTGTGTGTATGTATGTATATATATATATCTGAATAATGTATAAACACAGTTATAATGATATTAAGCTTCCTATCTTTATCGCAGGTGGCAATGCAGGTATGGCCACAGCATATGCGGCCAGAAAACTCCAAATCCCAGCAACCATCATTGTCCCGACCTCCACCCCCAAGCTGGTGATTGAGAAGCTGAGGAGCCAGGAGGCCTCAGTAAGGGTGGTAGGCAAGGTTGGTGGAGCCCATCTCCCTCTGATCCTCTGGAAGAATCCCAAGCCTGTCTCCCGATGACGGGTTTATTTTCTTTGTGGTTTTGTTGTCCTGATTGCGAGCTACGCATCAGTGAAGTATCAATGGTGTGAGTGTGTATTTCACCTGCGCAACATCGCCCCCTGCAGGAGTTTGACGAGGCTAACGCAGAGGCTCTGCGTGTGGCCCATTCAGAGGGGCTCACCTTTGTTCCACCCTTTGATCACCCTCTGCTGTGGTGAGATTTCAGCTCTTTTACTGGGGGGGAAGAGATTTAACAGGACCAATGAGCTTTTCTGGGGGGTAGTGGAGTGACCGTGTTGTCTGTCCCAGGGAGGGCCACGCCAGTATCATACACGAAATCAAGGACTCGCTGACTTGTAAGCCTGGGGCTGTGGTTGTGGCCGTGGGGGGGGGAGGACTCCTCTGTGGGGTCATGGAGGGTCTGAAGCAGGTGGGCTGGGACGGCGTGCCCATCATCTGCATGGAGACGGAGGGCGCCGCCTCTTTGAACGCAGCGATCAGAGCGGGGAGGCTAGTCACGCTCCCTGAAATCCGAAGGTGAGGGGACGCCTACGGCCCATGCCGCGTCAGTCATGCGGGGGCTGGTTCGGGAAGGTGTCCACCGTGCTGTGTGTGTCTCTGACAGTGAGGCCAAAACCCTGGGAGCAAAGACGGTATGCAGCCAGGCCTTTGAGTGCACCAAGCAGGGCCACGTCATCTCTGAGGTGGTGACAGACCTGGAGGCCCTACAGGCTCTGGAGCAGTTTCTGGGTGAGTCTGCCTGTGATGTCCAACACCAGCTGTGGACGGGTCACGCATATCGGGCTGTTTATTTTGTAGGTAGCTCATTCCCCACTTACCTCACCACTGAGGTGCCCTTACTGTGGGTGTCGTCTCAGTTTAATGGTTCTATGCTCCCTACGCTTATCTGGATAGAACCGTTGCTTCATTCTCAGTGCTGGGGAAGTTACTCACAATGAATCCATTACAGACATTTCAGGTCCGACCAACCAACCAGTTATAAAGAGTCACAGTCACAGAGTACTCAACTGGTTGGTTGAAACAAAACCTTGGTCTGGATTTGTACCTTCTGCACCTGAACTGTCTGTAATGGATTACTTCTGTGAGTAACTTCCCCAACACTGTTCACCAGGAATTTGGCTTCCTGTATGTGTGGACAAACAGACTTTACACCGGTGTCTGATGTAACTGAAGATATGGGTCATATAGCATAAAATAACCATAAAATGACAAGCAGGTAGAAGGGTGACATTGACATGCGACCTAAAGGCAGCTGGCTCAAGTGTCAGAAAAGGGTGTTTATCTCCAGGTGTGTATTTGGGTACAAGCCCTCGGAGTTGTGGTCGCTGACAGTTGCTGCCGTGTGTGCAGATGAAGAGCGGGTTCTGGTGGAGCTGTCTTGTGGAGCAGCGCTGGCTGCCGTCTACAGTGGCGTGATCCAGCGGCTGCGGGCGGAGGGCCGCCTGCCCCCCCTGCTGGACCCCATAGTGATGGTGGTGTGTGGTGGCAGTGGGATCAGCATGAGCTGGCTGAAGGAGCTGTCCGACAAGCTAAGGGGCTGAGCCTGGGGAGCAGTGCATCATGGGAATGCGGCAGACCTCCGAATCGTGGTCCACGTGCTGGCATTAGCTGCACTACAGATCAACAGATGGCACCATGTCAGTGATGTGCTCTGCTGGTCAAGCGTCATCTTGTATCTGTGAGGAAACTGGTTTGAATAAAAAGGCTAGCTACCAATTGTTTGAAACAGCAGAAATAAATTGTACATCCACAAACACCTATCCATTGTTGTGTAATTTTATTGTAATTCATTTTATTTTATATTTTTCTTGATTTTTCCTTGCGAATTATCTGACTGAAATATTTTTTATTGTCTTTAGCTGGTATTCATTAAAACGCTAAATTTAATTGCAGTTAATTCTTCTCACCAGCAGGTGGCAGTAAAACGCCAGTTTCTCATTCCAAGTCGGGCTCGGGAAGCTTGTCCAGCCTTTTGCTCTTTGGCTGCAGTCGGTTTACTTTACGCAGAATTTGAAAATAAATCTTTCTTATTTCTTTGACTATAGTCCAATTAATACAGTGGTTTTAAAAATAGCCCCACCTAGCACTTTAACACCTGATAATGTTCCCAAACAGACCATCACATGTGAACATAGCAAATAACAACAATGGAGCATCTTAGGAGCAAACTGAGTATAATGGCTGTCTGGGTGGTGTGTTGGTGGGGCAGACGCAGCATTGTCCAGTTAGCCGGACCAGCTGGTCACAGTACAGGACTGGGACCACTACAGGGCTTAACTTGTTAACCAGTATTCTTATATTTTGATTTTTTATTTTAATGTTTATTGTAACTGTGTTCGTTATGTTAAATCTTTCTTTGAAATCCAATTTGGTTTTAGTTTTTAGTGTGGTAATTTTTATCTTAAAGATGTGTTTCTGTTCAGTTTTATTGTATTTTAGTTTCAGTTTGTTTTATTTACGTAAGTTAACCTCTAGGGATGGACCAAAAGTTATAGAGCTATTTTATCTATCTGATCTTTAAAGAATCTAACGTGAATACACATTGCACATTATGTATTAATGTCCTCAAAATGGACAGACTATGTTCTAGGTAACATTAAAGATACATCGTTATGTAAGCTACAGTGAAAGCTTTTGGCTTACGCATTAACCTGAAGAAGTAAACGGCACAATTCTAAAACATAAGCATAAAAATTTCATAACAATATATAATAGCATTATTGTATTGTTCAAATAAAGAAAATAATTGCACAACGCACGGGCCTATTTTCGTTCCTGCGCATGCCAAATGGCGCTTTTCCACTGCATCCAAGAACCAAGCCGTAGCCGAGCCATAACCACGCTGACTTGGCCCTGCGTTGTCATGCGCTGTACGGCTGCGGACGGTCGTGTGCGCGGCAGCGTGTGTTCATAGTTCATACTACGTTTGGCTGCCGATGCGGATGGTGGCGTACAGCAGTGATACTCCAACAGACCACGAGGGGGCAGATGTATTACAACAAACAAGCGGCAGCTTAGTAGTCATTTCGCTTGTTCCGCTGCTGTTTAACTCCCAAACTCTCGGCTTCTATAGAATATCCAACTTTAAATAAAAGTACAATAATCATTAATGTGTGTATATCAAAAATAAAATGTGCGAGAAATGTGTTCTGATTAATTGTTTTTCAATAATAATAATCAACTATCCAGCAGTGTTGGATACAAGAGCTTTTACTGTAAATGCTATTAAAAATGGCACCGGAAAGTATTTCATTTTAAAAAAAAATTCTATTTCAGCATGTTTGAGAAGCAGTTTTACGGTTTTTGTCTTTTATTTCCAGTTCGCAGAAATATTTTCTTTTTGTCCGAGTTTTAGTTTTTGTCGATGATAATCATGCTGAACATCCATGAGTGTTGGTGTGGACTCTAAGACTAGGAGACACGCCCTGAGTGACCTGCCTCAGGGCAGCTGGAAGCCCTCACCTCGACTCTGTGTCACCAGTATCAGCTCCTTGACCTCTGGTGACATTATATCTGTTGGATGGAGGGTGTTGGGTGACGGCTTCCTTTCCTCGCCTAGTCAGGCTCCAGCCATCCGCCGGCAGGACAGATGTCAAGCTCTCAGATACCATCAGATGTTTCAGGCTTGGCGGAGGGTGCGGCAGCTGAGCTAGTCTGGTGACAGACTCTTTCTGAAAGACTCTTCTTCTTCTCCGGAACAGTTTGACTGTCAGTGACCTTGTTGACAGAGATACTGGTGATAAACGATACTATACACGACTGCTGCCCTCGGAATCTGAAGTAACGTGGCGGCGTGTTTCAGTGGACCGCGGTAAACATTACGTGAATGCGTACAGCAGATGAACGCACGTCTGAGCCGTGATATGCGGGTTGATAAAACGCGTAGGAAGTCAGACCTGGACGGGTGCGGGCCTACCTCCATCTACAGGACCACGTCTGCCCTCATGTGTTCTGCACCCCCTCGGAGGAGAAGGAGATGCAAAACTGGAATGAAGGCTTGACATCTAGCACACAGGACTGGAGGGACAGGTAGGACTGGTGAGACTGGCTGGACTTCTGCATGCTTTTTGAGCCACATGATATACACTACTGTCCCCCTCACCTGGGCGGAGTCAGATTATGAAGACTTTCCTATGTTTGGTCAAGATGGTGATTCTTAATGTATTTCCTCCCAACAACGTCCCACCTCCGCGCTTCTCCTGTCCCGTTTTGGCCGAGGTTCCAGCTCATCCCGCATCCGTCTCCCATTCAGCACCTTATTTACTCTTTTCTGGAGGTCAAAGGTGGTCGTCATGGTCTGCAGGCGGTATGCAGATAGCGATGGCATTCACCTATTGAGAGACGCTTTATTACGCACGATCTGGCTCCGCTCCCCACCCGAGGAGGCCGCTGTAAACGGTGGCTGTGGGGCAGCGGATGCTGGAGAGGGTGATTCACCGGTGAATTTACAAGATGGATATGGGAAAAAGGTCAGCGATGGAGGGAGCTGAAGTAGATGAAAATGAGTCTGTTTGTTGACTCTGTTTGTTCACTGATTATCTTCACGCCAAGCTTGGTTCTGCGATTATACCAAAACATCACAGCAGGTCTGAGGGGCACAACCGTAGTCCTAATTAAAGTGGCAGATCCCTGCCTTGCAGGCAAAGTCTTCACTTTGGCATATGCTTCTCTGAGCAGGGAAAAAAAAGGCTTTTGGAGCACTGTCATTGGCTGGACGCTTTTAGACAGAACATCTGCAGTGCGAGAGGCGGTTCTAAATTTAAAAACGAGAAATTTTAGTCTGCGATTTCCGGTGAACTCCACCCTAAACTTACCAGCCCCAATGTAGTAGGTCTAGCATACATTCCAAGGAACCTACTAAACACTAAAATGACATTAAAATGCTAATCAGATTTAAAGGGGTAATATTTTGTAGGGGAGTATTTAAAAAAGATGATTATGTCAGAGAAACCCGGTTTCCCATCATGCTTCAGAGCAGAGGTGTGTGGTCACATGGAAGACCCCCCCCCCCCCCCGGCATGAAAGACGAACCACGTGCCATCCTTAGCGCCCCCATGCCCCTGCGTCTTGCTGACTCCTCTGACGTGTGGGGGTGTCGCAAACTCGTGTGCTGCCTCACTTGACCCATGCATTTGAGAACGAGCCGTTACCCACAAACAATGTGGGCCTCTGTGAAGCTCTTCCCCTGCTGACTGACCTGTGAGTTTCAGTCTAATCCAATCACACCTCTGATGGCACCGACCGGCACTGCAGACGTCGCGTGGAAGCCCTTCAACTTTGTTAATCCTAATTTAATAACACGGGAGGAAGTGAGTTCAGCGTTAAGGGAGTGTTTGAGTCACAACGACTCAATAATAATGTGACCAGTAAATGGAGAGGGTTCATTAATCCAGTGTGCTGCCCAGTTTCAGTTCAAGGAGTAGTGATGTGGAGGCAGTGAATCTATCACATCCCTAACAAGCCTCCCATTTTAGCTTTGATTGGGCGTCATGTTATCACTCCTCTGCTTTCTGTCAGCCCAATGAGTCGACTTCGCCTTCCTCAGTGCAGCCTTGTCCGTCAGCGCAGCTCAGGGAAGCAGCCTGGTCTCCTATCCTGCCCCAGGCCCCCGCAGAGTCAGCCAGTAACAGTCTGCTGATGTGTCACAATCATCTAGATCCTTCTCTGCGGTATGATCCACCATGTTATGATTATAATAAGTAGAGCAAAATCATGTTTCACGGGCTGGATGGAGACTGTTGATACGGAAACGCTGTAAAATTAAGCGTGCGGGTGGGTCACAGCTGGCTGCCAGACGGCACGATCAAAAGCCCGATAAGAATGGAATGGAGTTCAATCATTCAACAAAGACACTGAAACAAAAAGGTGAGCAAACCGCACACGTGTCGGTTCACTACTGTTCCACACCTGCTGGTCTCAGCTGGAAGGTGATGGTTAGCTCATAGATATGCCTGCAGGCACAAACTACGGGCGTGGCACTCGGGGGAGGTCAGCCGTAAGGTCGTGCGATAGCTTTGTAAAATAGAGCAGGCCCCCCAGGATTCTGGGGGCTGACAAGAGGCACACCAAGCACGGATAATGGGTGGCTAATTTTCAACTCTGCAGTTTGACTGAAACACAAGCGATCAATCATAGTGAAGCATTTGCAGGACTCATGATAAAATGGTTTGACCTTCCTGATAAAAATAGAAAGAAAGGAGAGACTTCCATGTGGGTTTTTAGATGTTTTCTAAGCTGATTGCTGTTATACATTAATAATAATGACCTCAGCAGCCTGGGCTGTTGGCCCTGACCTTTGACCCGCCTGACCTTGGCACCGTCATTAAGCCCTGCTCTGACCAAATAGCAGCACTGATGTATTGGCACTGATCTCGATAACAAATCCTCCCTCTCCTTTGCCACCCGAGCAGTTCAGCAGAAAGGAAGATCGGGATGTTCATTCACAGAACATCTTCTGCATGTTCTGTCCACCATGACCATGTTGTGCCATTAGCCAAAGGGGGTTGTTGTGCTGTTCCACGCCCGACCGTGCAAAGGTGTTCCAGAGCTTCACGACAGACTTGTTAATCACGTTAATGCACTGCATTTCTGTCCTGCATTCACTGCATACTGTGTTCCCAAGGCAGGAGACTAGGGGCTCAGACAGTTTGGGAAGGTGAGCAGAGTTGGACTGTAGACCAGCAGAATCCCATGGTGTTCTTATGTAGATCCTGTTATGGAAAAAAAAAACACACAGTGGGCATGACCTGAGAAAGTTCACCTTGATTCGCTGATCCAGTGTGCTGCTGGTGGAATACAGTGAAGATAAGGAATGACAAGGGGCCCCAGAGGAGCTGGTGAGGATTCTTCTGATGGAAAATGAATGTAATAAGTAGCGAGTGAATTATTGAAGGGATGATGGAGTCAGCTTGTAAGTGAGTGAATTATCTGAGCAGAATCCCTGAGCAGAAGATGCAGTCAGCATAAGTGAATTATTGAGTGATTGAGTGAATCATGGATGGATGGAGTGAGAGAGGGAGTGAGTGCTGACATTGATATCTGTACTTGAAGCCCCCACCCCCTGTTTTCAGTTCCACTTGGCCTGGCCAGCATCACATGAGGATGATAATGGACTCTCTTAAGTCTGTATAATGGGGGGGGGGCTCTCCTCAAGCAGCCAACATGTCCAGACTGATTGTACTGGACACGATGCATGTGGAATCATGTGACTTGGGTGCAGAGTAGTGCGTGCTGTGCCGTGCGGGGGACTGAGGCTGACGTGGGGGACTGAGGCTGACGTGGGGGACTGAGGCTGACGTGGGGGACTGAGGCTGACGTGGAAGCTGCTCTTTGAAATCTGCCAGGCCTACAAGTCCCTGCTTTGTTTCCTAATGAATGGAGTCTATCCCGGGCTTATTCCAGTTTATGCCGGGCTTATTCCGGGACAGAACCAATCAGCAAAATCTATTGCTCAGCAAAAGTTGTCATGGGGAACCCCAATGTCCGGGCCCAGCATGTAAGTCCAAACGTCTCGCTGTCCTCCACTCTGCTTCCACCAATCCATCCCTCTGGATTCCTCCATCATGTTGGTCTTTGTTGTTTTGCTGTTTAGCCGGCTTTTCAAAGACTTCATGATGCAAATTGAGCTAGATCCAGATTCCTGAATACCTCTGAGGGGGGGGGGGGGGCGGGTAGGATTTAATTTGGGGGGCTGGGGGCCCACCTACAGCCTAAAATGCTGCTGTCACAAACAAATAAAATAAAATTGGGCCCCTCTACAACTTGAGATCATGGGCTGCAGCCCAGGTCACAGCCTTGGGCCCAGGACCGATTTCTGCGAGCTCTGCTGTGGTCGGTGTCTCCATGTACAAGTTTTCTCGTCTCTCGTTCCAAACAAATGCCGTTAAGCACGCTCCCATATAATCTGCAGCACTGTGTCACCCTGCTCTCTCCGGCCGTGTTCATTAACGTCTCTCCCTTATCCACATTACATACCACAGAGAGCCGCTGTTTATCCAGGAGTGGCTGCTGTTTTCGGGCTGGACTTTTACTCGTGACCATCTCCTCCAACATACTGGCAGCCTGCCCCTGCTTACCGCTTCATCCCTCAAATCTTGTGGTTCTCAATATTACGGTCTGTGGCTGTGACTAGACTAGTGTCTCTTTGGCACTGGCCTGCTGCTGGGTGAGCGAGTCCACAGGGCAGGGCCTGTCCCAAAACAGCCAGCCTCCACGGCCTCAGACTGTTAGCTCTGCCTTAATTCGATTAAGATCAGACACTAGACAAAAACAGCAACGGAGAGACAGCTGTGCTTCCCCGTGTTGAGAAACCAACCAACACAAACAACAGAGTAATTCAATAAGTCAGTAAGAATCCAACACAGAGTTAAACACCTCCGCATTGTGCAACACTAATCCCCTCGATGTAGGAGGCTAAGGTGTGATTGAAGGTTTTAAACGTTACGTTATTGCAGAGCCTCTCCAGCAGGGGTCACAAAAACACCTTTGCTTGAATCAAATTAAACTTCATGTCCTTCCCGCATCATAATTGTAGTGTATTTTGGGAGAGGATGCAGTGTTAATATGTGTCTGTGTGTGTGTGTGTGTGTGTTTGAGAGAGAGAGAAATCTTGCCTTAGAGGGAACATCGTTCCATACTTCATGTAGCCTACTTATCTTGTGAGGTTAGGTTTCCGCTTAATTGTTGCCTAAAGATTTCAGTAAAATGGCACTATAATCCCACAGGACCATGACAAAGTAGGGCTGTCGGAATCATACTGTATTGTTAGGGTCGTGCATTCATTTGAAGCGCCGGCAGCGGGCTACAACACCCAAAAGAACTACAACTCCCAGAGTCCCCCGCGGCGCATTATCGCCAGTCCATGCGCACTATTGTCAGTGCGAGGGATGATGTCACCTGCAAAAGCCGAGCCGTACCTTATTGTGCTGGCGGAGATTCCTGGTGCGAAGGCTTCGTGCGGTTCGCTCGGATGATGGGTCATTTTCCAAGGTAAGGACGATACAACCGCGGCCGATGGTTAGATAAGTGACAGTGTTTCATGTTCTTGTTGCAGACTGCACTGTGTGTCGGTTATTACCTCCCACTGAATCTGGGCAGTTAACCTGAAACCGTGTTTTAATGGGTGGGACGGAGACAGTGCAGATGCGAGCGTGAGGTGTCGCCGGACATGTGGAAAATGCTTTTCTTTTCACACCTGTGCCCTCTAATTTATTTTTTTGCCCCCCCCTACATTGGAATTTTAAAAATTCTGGTTGCGTTTTAATGAGGTGCGTAAATTGCGGGTGGATATAATTTTTTATAATTGAAGTTCATGGTGAAACTTCGTACTATGTTTTCAGTTATTTTGCAATCACGGTCTATCTGCCTTCGGGACAACCGTAGTTGCAAAATGTGAAACAGCCGGACTTACTGAGGGAAAAGTCACATAATAAGCTGTTTTAAAAAGGATTTACTGTTTGAGTCATGAAAATGAAGACGAAGCGTTGCAAAGTATTAAAAGTTTCTTTTAATTTACGTGAGCTGTACAGACAAGACCCCTGTTTGCACGGACAGTTTGCTTTTCCCTTTGCACCGTGATTTGTGCACATGTAGGTGAACATTCACCTCGTTGGTAGGGCATTCATTTTTTTGGGAGTAGTTAGTTATTTATTTTATAGCTCTTTTCCGTGTATTCTACCGGAAAGGCGTCTGCCTGAAGGTGTGGTCTTTCTGATAATTTCATTTAATCTCAATACCTCTTCTTCGTGAAATGAGCCTAACGTGCGGAGTGAGAAACGTGTTTTAGGTCACTATTGAATATTGATACTCCGCACCTACCTGCTTGTCAGTGATGAGGTTTGAGCCCACAGCATCCGATCAGTTGGTGGTTACCGACTGATTTGGCGCTGCTCGGCGATCATACCTGCAGCGTGACTGTTTTAGGATCAGATGGGACTGTTTGTTCAACATGCACCTGGGACTGTGATGACTGGCATTCATCATCAGGGAATCACCAGCGTTGTCGCGGGGGACTGAAGACTGGTGTACCCTGCTTGTGAAATCTGGTGCGGTTCACCTGCACAGCCTACAATTTGAGTGGTGTAATGTCTGCCTTTGTGTTTCTTGCATGCTAGCCTGCATGATGCCAGAGTATAACCTGGTTGTCTGTGGTGCTGGGCAGGTGGGGACTCGTCAGGGGAGCGTTTCGATCGCACCCCGGCCCTCTGCGAGCTCTCCGCAGCCCTGCCCTCATGTCCGTCACCCCGCGCCCTTATCTGCTGAACGCTCTGCGCTCCTGCTGTCCGGCAGTGTTCCTGCTGGTGCTCTTCTGAGCCCAGCTGGGAATTCATGCTGCTCGGTTAGCAGGATCTCCTGGAGAGCTTGTTTGGAATCTGCTGACAGGAGGAGGCCCTAATTAAGGAGGCCGGGAGGGGTCACCCGGGAGCGGCCTCCGGTACAGGGAGTTTTACCGCCACGCCGAGCAGTGATATTGGGGGGCGTCTCCCTTGCTTATTTTTCTGCGTGTTTCGTGCATCTCTGCCATTAACGAGAACCTGGTCTGTGGGTCGGAATGTTACACACCCAATTCCAGAGGATTGGCATGGGGGCCCCGTGCTCCGCCGCGATGGGGCTGCTGACGAGGCCCCTCCCTGAAGTGCGTCAGTCGCTGTGCAGTTTGTTTAGCGCGTAAATGTCTGTAATTATCGGGCTTTTGGTGTAGTTGACACAGGCCTGGGGAAAGGTTTGTCGCTTAAAGTTTTGTTTGGGACCCCTTCTGCAAGTTTCTTTTGACCTGCCACCCGGCTGGGGGCCAATTCCTCGTGTCCGCGGTCGATCTGCAGACCCTTTGAGAGCCACGTGGATGAAACAGACCCTTCTCGTCTGTGCTGGCTTGTTGCCAACCTCCCGGTGGGGGCTGCCTTGACGTAGGCTGAGGTTCTCCACGATTAAATAAATGCAGGTGGAGATGGGGGGTGGGGGAGTGCGCCGCCCTTGTGGGGAAGTTTGTGGGCACGCCCGTAACTGGAATGCCACACCATATATTAGTGTTTGTGAGGGGAATAGGCGCCCCCTTGTGGTGCTTATGTCCGTAAAGTCATACAAAGGCTTTGACATGCATGTCCTGAACACAAGCAAGCACATCTCCCTGTCCGGAACCATCCCTGTGGATCAGGTCAGGGTTTGCTGCCAAAAATGCATTTTTGGATCAGTGGATCATACGATGGTCTCCTACCTGCATGTGGTTTGTTGGTTGTAAGTTGTTTTCACCGGTTTTTAATCGACGCCTTGCGCACTTCAGAGCCTGTGCCTCTTGTCTCTTGTTTCTATGGCAACGAGCAAGGACGTTGTGGTGGGGGTGAACGCTCACGCTTGCCCTCTGAAAGCCATCAGAGGTGTTTCCTGCGAAGCAGTTCCTGATCCAAATGGAATTTTCTTTGCCGGGTTCTTTTAATTTCTCAGATTTTCTAAGTCGGAGCTCCTGTGCCCCCCCACCCCCAGCCCGTTGTGTGTTTCCATCCCTGAGGAACCACCGATGGCGGATGGGGTGCCCAGCATGGTGGGGGTGGGCGACGCCCACCGGTTGGACCAATCACAATGAGGCGTGGCGGTGGAAGCATCGCAGTGCAGTTACAGAACCTGCCAAACGGACGGGGGCGTTTAGCGGGGAGCCGCGGCCCTGCTGACGCTGCCGTACCAAGTCGCCGGCGCCTTCCTGGGCGCCGCGGTAACAAAGGGCCGGTGTGGCGCTCTGAATGCACCATTCTCCAAGCTGCGCGCACCAGCAGGGGAGCACAAAGGGCCCATTCCCTGTAATTCATGCCTGGCCCCGCCCCCTAGTGGTCCCAGCCGTGGCTCTGTGGCCCCGTCTGTCACGACGGTGGTCCTCAGATGGGGAGGAGCCCCCCCCCCCACCGGCCCTGCCCTGAGCTCCCATGCGCCCCCTGCTGCCCTGGATGAGCCTTGACCTTCGGTGTCAGATCTCATCGTCGCTTTATTAAGCAGTGGGGAGTCGCTGCACGTTCAACATAGATAATGAGTTTGAATGGACCCCCCCCCCTTCACTGTGCAGTTCACAGCAGACCTCATTCCAGACCACCTTTGCTTGGCCACCCCGGAATGTTTCTGATAGCAGGGCGTCCCCGTAACCCTCTTTGTGATTCTGTGTGTGTGTCTGTGTGTGTGTGTGCCGCATGCCGCATGCCTGGTGGTTAGTTGGTATTCCTCCAGTGGCGACAGCAGCTTGCCTTTGTGGATAAACGGGCCCCTTGACCTTGCTCATTGTGCAGGGTCAGGAGGTCGATCCGTATTCCCAGTCTTAAATAGTGGGACCCCTTTCTTTTAGAGAGGAGGGTGCCAGGCTCCCCCGTCGAGGTGTCCCATTGGTTGACCCATAGGCTGGAACACCCCAACTCTTCATCGTCCCCCTCCCTGCAGGTGACGTGGGCCAGCTGCTCGTCAGCGCCCCCCATTGGTTGCTGAACACCCCAACCCCCCATGTCAGCCTCCCTCTTTGCTGATGAGGAGGCCCAGCTGCTCGTCAGCACCCCCCATTGGTTGCTGAACACCCCATCCCCCCATGTCAGCCCCCTCCTGGCTGGTGAGGAGGCCCAGCTGCTCGTCAGCGCCCCCCATTGGTTACTGATCACCCCATCCCCCCCATGTCAGCCTCCCTCTTTGCTGATGAGGAGGCCCAGCTGCTTGTCAGTGCTCCTCCATCTTCTCAGATATCCAAATGAGAATCCTGGATATTCTCTGAAGCCTTTGCGTCTTGCTGATTCCATAAGCGCCGTGTGGGATCCCAGCCTCTTGATGGAGGATGATGTGGTCCTGCAGCACTCGATTTCGATTCCTTCATATGCTTTGAAAATCTGTGCACGCCCTGAGTTCTGCAGCCAGGGGTTTAGGCAGTGCAGTGACCAGCACACTGCACTGTCATTGGTTCATAGCTTTACTCCGAGTAGAGTCTAGCCTGCGTGTTCATGCACTACAACCAGTCCATTCATAGCCACTCTGGGGTCTAATTTGGCTCCAATTTTAGATAGTTGTTTTTTTTTTTTTGTCTTGTTTATGGAAATGAGTCTTAGCTACACAATGAAGACTGTGGTGCAGAACTGCACAGTGCTGGTTTCGGTGTGTTTGTGGATTGGTTCTTCAGTTCTGTTCCAGTCTGCGTTTTTGAATGCCCTGCTCATCTGCCTAGACCTGTCAGCTATGTCCATCCAGAGTAAAGTGTCCATTCGCTGCTGTTGTCCGGCTGTCCTGCTTGGCTGCAGCTGCACCCGCTGCAGGCGGCGTTTGCATGCGCCTCTTGCCTTGGCCTCATCCTGCCCTCGCCCCTCACCCTCCCGCATCGCTGAGGGTATATGGGTGTTCGGTATGGGATGCACTCCGATGCCGCATCCTGGTAAGGAGCCAGGTCGTGTACCTCTCCCTGCCCACCCGTCTGGGATCTGAGCCGCCCTCTGGTCGGTGACGTGGCCGGGGTGCCGTATTTTAATGGATCACCATGAGCACCATGATGAAACGGCGTTGACGTACTCGGGGTAGGGGATTATATGTATGTAAAGAGCGTAGTAACGCAAAGTTTGGACTGGCTGCGTTAACGACGAGGGCTGGAAATGAGCAAACTCAAATAAAGAAAGTGTGTTGTTGGGTCAGATCCCGTCTCTTTTCCATTTTGCGGCCTTTTTACTTACGGAGAAATAACAGTTTGCCGCTTTCTTTGCGGCGGCTGATCTTCCCACGCGGTTCTGTGATGTTTAGCAGACCTTTCAGGCTGGTGCAGTGAACTGAGTGCAGTGACCTGAGGTTTCTCTTAGTCTAGTACATATTTGATTAACAAATCAGCGAACAGGTTCCCTGCGCACTGGTGTTGTTTGCCGGCACTGCGATTTTGGAACGATAAGGCGCACAATAGTTTTGTGCTTGAAGCGGCTTCCAGGACACGGTGGTGGTGGGGAGATTGGTGTCCGTCCAGCGCCCCCCTGTGTGTGATGGCTCTGCTCTTT